TTTTTTTTTTTTTTTTTTTTTGGTACCGGGGATTGAACTCGGGTCCTTGTGCTTGCAAGGCAGGCCACTGAACCACTGAGCTAAATCCCCAGCCCCTAAATTCTTTGCCTCTTAACCCAATAATTTGGTAGATAATTTCAGTAAAAGACCATATTGCTAAGATACCAAGATAGGTAATAATAAGCAAACTTTACTAAATAAAGAATTTTTTAAGTACCATGTTAAATTATTAACAAACACATTCCTTCCTTATAATATACATACATAAATAAAATGTAAGTGTCTTTGTGAGCCTAAACATGCTTTCCAGGGTTATATAATCAGATTAACTCCTTCTTCATTGAGTACTCTAGGCCATTAAATGTATATATTCACCAAAATGACGTTATTCTACCTCAGGTTTTCAGGAGAACTGGTCTAACTCTTCAGATAGTTCTTATCCTAGTCTCTTTCAAGTATTATTAATAGGACTCCTGGAGCTTGTTATCTTTCACTCAAGCACTCCATGGTCTCAGCAAAAGCTGCCAAGAAAGATCTCTAAGTGAGAGGTAGCATTAAGGCACTAAGATTACTGGTGCAAATCAGCCACTGTGACCTTGTGGGACAAGGAGAAAAATCATCCCCCAATATGACATGGGTGTTTCTTTCAATATGCCAAGATGACAATCCACAGTTGGTCAGGGCTAAAACAAAGGAGAGAAAGACAGCAATTGTCCAGATAATGCATATCATGCTTATATAATGGACAAAACTTTACCCAAATAATTCACATATTTATACCATTCACTCCCCATTTCAGAGAGGCCAGGTCAGTAACATAGGCAATCAGCTATTGGCAGCTCCAGTTTTACATTAGGAAAATAATCTGGTATGTACTTCGAAGTTCTTCAGATTATGGAAAAACACACTGTAACTCTTTGGATTTGTAGAAGAGTTCCTAAGCCAATAAAAGCCCCTTGTTTTGACTTCCAATCTTTGAGCGACTTAATCTTTGGCTAAATTTGCCTAGTATTGAATATAGCTATTCAACTCTGCCAGCCGTATCAATGTGAAGGAATGCCACCATCATATTTGTAGATGATTTAAAAAATTCATGGCTGTCAGCCCCTTCCCTTCATCCTATTTCAAGAGAATATTAAACATGAAAAATGTACATACAATTGAGGGTGACAGTGAAGAAAGAAGTAAAGGTGTGGTGGGTGGGGGGTTATCTCAGAAGAAGGGCTTCGAAAAGCAGTTACCTTAAATAGGAAGGAGATCTACCATGAGTGACCTCAAAGAATGTTTTTCCAATCGTAAAATGTGTATGGGAAAACCAGACTTAACTACCAGAGTCATTCTAAAAGAAATAAGGCCACTGAGTGACACTAACAATGCTTTCACACAAAAGTGATTTCAGAAAAAGGATACATGGACTGGAAAACTGCATTACATTTCTCTAACTTCTATGAACCCATAAAATGATTTCCAGAATTCAAATCTCAATCTCCTTTCCATCCTGGATACATTTGAACAATAGAAATTCACTTGCCGCAGAGTTTAGAAATTTAAAGTTTAAAGTTTAATTAAAATTTAACATGCTAGGCCCAGGGGCATATGCCGGTATCCCAGCTACTCAGTAGGCTGAGACAAGAGGCCATCCAGCAAAACTTACCACCACCCTGTCTCAAAACAATTTTTTTAATAAAATAAATTTTAAAAATTAAAAAAGGGGTAGAAATGTAGCTCAGCGGTAGAGTGCCCCGGGACAAATCCTCAGCACTGTAAAAGCACTGTTTTTAATTTAATGTGGTTCTCTTAGCCTCCATCTTATTTTATATTCAGCTCCTTATTCAATGGGATATAGAGCGCTACAACTGAAAAACCCATACTTTCCAGGCAATTTCTCTCTTAACTTTGCACAAGTAACAATTTTTCCGAGCTTCAGTGTCCTCAACTATAAAATGGAAATAAAAACATTACCTACCACATCTAATTCAGAAGATCAGTACTGAAACATAAACTAATAAATGTAAAATTATTTTTAAACCACAAAGCACTATACAAACATATTGCCTTGGTTGCTACCTTCAGTGAAGTAGTTATGAGCAGAAAAAAATGGATAAAAACAGGGTCAAAAGGGAAAAGTTTCTTTCACCTGAAAGAGAAGGGATGCAAACACGGTGAGGAGCATTTTAAGCTACTGGCTAAATACATCTAGGGAAGTGGCTTAATACAAAGTTGAATTATTATTTATAAGTGGATTCTCGTGAACACAATCCACTCTGCACGAAGAGCAAAAGCAAAAGAACTGATGAAGTTCAGTGGGGAAGAGAGGATGGGGTTAGTTACGAGAGTCAGTATAGACAGAACATAGCTGCGTAAGTGAAAGAAACAGACGATACCACCAAGCACAGGACAACCAGATCACCCACAATCTATATACTATAGCCATATACAGTGATTTCTCTAGGGGACTTAAAAAGAAAAAGAAAAAGAAAAGAAAGAAGGAAAGGCCACAAGTATCAGACAAAAGTGATTTAGTAGCTTGGTTCTCCATAGGAAACACTGAGGGAGGCAGCATTGCTGAAAAGAAAATAAGACACCCGCAACAATGAGGTCAAGGGTGTTCTAAGAGCTTTAGCCTGGAGAAGATAAAAACTGTTTTGGAAGCACCGCAACTCAGCAAAACAAAAGGTGTAGTTTCAGAAGATCTGCTTGCCTTAACCCAGTATATAGAGCTTTACTCTTTAAGTGAAGACGACTGATCTAATCTATAGGGATAACACCGGAGCCCAAATCATCGGTAACCATGACAACTCAAGTAGGTGGAGGGAAATACAAACACTGACCAGGCATAGGGTGACGCTATTCTTTCAGGTAGAGACCCTGGAGTCGGAAAAAGACTTGATGAGTGGAGGAGGAAGGTGTTCAAAAATGAAAGCGAGTTTGACCAAAGGGGTTGTGTCCATGCAAGAGGGCTTGGCGGTGACACTGATACTCTCCGCCGGGAGGACCGCAGGTCACAGGCTCATCCGTAAGGAGTCTGGACGCCTATAAGACCGAAAAGGGAGTTACCTGGTGCAGGGCTGTCAAGCCGTCCACGTTGACCGTGTTGATGTCCGCCCCTCTGGCTAGAAGCTTCTTCACCTCATCTGTGTCCCCGCTGGAACAGGCGGCCAGAAAGACAGCGCCGTCCTCGAAGCGGACCCTGGGGCTCCCACGCCTCGTCTGCGTCTGTCTCCCTGCGCCTCGTCGCTCCGCGGACTCCTGCTCTGTCAGTGAGCCCCGCCAGCGCCGCAGCTGCTCAGCCCGCCGCATTCGCGCCGATTCTGCCCGCTTCCCGCCCAGGTGCTCCAGCTCCGCCATGGTTCTAGTCCCCTGCAGTTAGTTGCTGCTGAAACTACCACCACTAGACTGCTAGTGCGGCTTGGGTTGCCGCTGCCGCCTCAGAGAGCTTCAACCAGGAGCAGAAGGCGGAGACCTCCACACCACCATCTTTACTCCTCCCGCCACTAGCACCGCCCGCACGCTCCCTGGGCTTCAACACGCAGGCGCTGCCCGGTCCCCGGGTCATCATGGGTCTTGTAGTAAAATACCTGCCTCTAGACCACTCCTGGGCCATGAGGGAACTACATATCCCTGGATGCATCAGAAAGGAGGCGAGGACAGACTGCTTGCTCCTTTGCCGCGGGACTCAGCGGTGTCACCTTTGCCCCGAAGTTGGGAGTGTCTTTCGGAGGGGCATCAGCTTCTTCCTTGGGGCACATTGGGAATTGTAGTTTACTCTTGTTATGACTACTAATTAATATTGGCTCCGTAATTGTCACATCACACTTTTGGAGTACAAAAAGGGCAGTAATATTCCCTATTTTCTAGTGGGGAGAGGTAGGTGTAAAATACGAAACAGATTCGAATTCATGTCCTGGTTCTAAATCTAGGATGATACTGACAAGTATTTATCAGCGTAAATGTGAATCTGTATGGATAGGAGAAGCATGCATACGTATATAGTATTACATGTTTTACATGAATAATTTTCAATGTAATTTTATCTGGGCTTAGAAAAAATATCTCAAAAAGGATGCATTCAGATGTAATGGACAAAGCTTAAGCTTTGAACTGAAATTCACCTCTGTAGACAAATTACTTGACTCCTTAACGACCTGTTTGCTTCGTAATCTGGGAATAATAATACTTCATAGGGTAGTAGTGTGGTACTAAATGTGGTACTAAATGCAAGAATGCCTAGTGTCTATGTGCCTATGTGCCTGGCACATATCAGCTAACAACAAATATAAATTTTCCTTCTTTCTGTCTTCTATCACTACTCTTCATGGGTCTTAAATTATTATGACACAGAATGAATGTTGTATTTCCCACGATCTTTTTATCAAAGCCACAGAAAGATGCCTACGGAACGTCCTAAACTCGTAAGGCAGCAAATGGAATATTTTTATATTCTATATAACTGTAGCTATAAAATCTATGTGTGTTTGATAGATTTAATAAATATATCCTCTAGGGCCTTAACCCTGGACAAAATACAGTTAAATGTGCTAGCCATAATGACGAAAACACATACATACATTAGGTTGTTTAATATTTTCTGTATGTTTGAATTTCTTCATAAAAAATGATACAAAAATACTTGGAGTTTGAAAAATGAAATTTATAATATTCTATCATGTAAACTTCATTATATTGTATCATATGAAAATTTACCTGTTCCTCAGTTCCCTGTGAAATGGGACCCATACACTGAAGAAATAAATGAATCAACAAATGAATGAAAATACAATAATCAATTTAATAATACTATGCCTATCCACCATATGCTTTAAGTTGAGCATTCTTGAATACTTTATAAATATTAAGTCTAGGGCCAGGGATTTATCTCAGTGGTTCCGCCACCTGCCTTACAAGCGCAAGGTCCCAAGTTTGATCCCTGGTACCCCCCAAAAAAATTGAGTCTAGCAGTATCTTGTATACTATGCAACAGTGTGCATAACAATAATATATGCTTTATATAAATTTTTCCTTCATGCATTTATTTACAATTATCACAAAACTTTTGTCTCATAATTACTTTCTAACTTATCAACATGGAACCTTTCCTTACTCCAACTTCTTCCTGATAATTAAAATTACACACAAGTTCCTAGATAGAATTCTCCCTAAAGTATAAAAGAGAAATTGATATTAAATCAATAGGAAAGAACACTGAGCTGTAAGCTTAACCCTCTTTGCAATCCTCATGCACCAGTTTAATATTATGGGGTTTGTTTGTTTGTTTGTTTGTATCAGGAATCAAACTCAGGACCTTGTGCTTATGCGGCAGGTGGCAGCACCACTGAGCTAAGTTTAATACTATGTTCATGGACATATATATAACTTCATATTTTACTGACATATCTGTCTTCTAGTAAGGATTTTTAAAAACCAGGATAAAAATTTCAATGACCCATGATATTACATTTCTTTTTGTTTGTTTTGCTTTGGGTTTTTTTGGTTGTTGTTTTGGTACTGGGGATTGAACTCAGGTCTGGTTCAGGTTGTATAAATTAGCCAATTTTGGCCAAATCCAAATTAAATTCTAACTTTCTCAAGAGGCATGAACTTAAATCTCAACAAGAAGAATTCATTCTCAACACTAAAAAGTTGTAGGAAGCAGAAACTACTGCTTTACAATGCCTATTGTATTTGCTTTGTTTCTTCTATTTTTTTTTTCTTGTGGTGGTAAGAGTGTAAAACCCCATTTGGAGACATTACAGAAAAGTGTAAATAGTTAAGTTCCTTGGATAATTTAACTAATACCTTTCTAAAGAAAAGAAATTATTCTTTTAGCTGCAATTACTAGACGTAGTAATCATTGTTATAATCTAATTTAACTGGGTCAGCCAAAAAATTATATCACAAAACATCATTCTATCTATACTAATTTGAAATTTTCTTCAAAATTAAATTTATATAGCATGTTATGATGGCACACATCTGTAATCCCAGCACTCTGGAGACTAAGGCAGGAGAATTTCAAGTTTTGTATGACTTAGTGAGACCTTGTCTCAAAATAAGAAATTTGAAAAAGGTCTGGGGATGTAGCTCAATGCTAAAGCCCTGAATTCAATCTCTAGGATTGTAAAAAAAATTAAAATCATGTAACTTTTGAGCTGGGTGTGGGGGCGCACCCCTGTAATCCCAGCACTGAGGAGGCTGAGGCAGGAGGATCATTGTGAGTTCGAGACCAGCCTGGGCTACACAGTGAGTTCCAGGTCAGTCTCAACTACATAGTGAGACCCTGTCTCAAAAAACAACAACAATAAAATCATGTAAGTTTTCTCTAAAACATCTTCCCCAGCCAGGACACTTTTAAGAATAATTGAAGAGGGCTGGGGATTTAGCTCAGTGGTTCGACACCTGCCTCACAAGCGCAAGGTCCCAAATTCAATCCCCGGTACCAAAATAATAATAATAATAATAATAATAATAATAATAATAATAATAGAAGAAGAAATAATATTATCTTTAAGAATTATATGATCATCTTATTAAGCAAGTAGGATAACAAATACTCTAAAGAAAATATTTTGACATACAAATTAGTAAATCTTGACAGTCTCATTTACAAATACGTTTTTATACTTTGAAATGTACTGAGCCATTTTATAAAGTGAGGAATGTTTACCAAACAATAATTCTCAAAACACCCACTTTAAAGTGAATTATAATAGAATACTTCATTTTAAAAAGTAATAACACCTGTAGATAGTTTATAAAAATCTTTCATTCTGTCTTCTATTTTTATCAGTTAGCCTACCTCCCTCTGGTGGACAAATAGGAACTATACTTAGTGTGGGTTCTGTCTTTCCTTTTATCTTCTTTTCCTCTTTTCTCCCTTGTTCTTTCCTCCCCTTCCCCTCTCCTTTTACCTTCTCTTTCTCTATTTTCCCTTCCATACTATAAATAGTTGCTAGCTTTATACCTTTATTCCTTTCCACCAAACTCAATACAATTTGTGCTTTTTCTAAGAGACATTTAAAGCAATTATTTTTCAGAGAACTGTCCAGGAAAGTAATTAATTTCAGTTCAGAAAATATCTTTAATTGAAAGACAGTTACTGTTGTGGTTAAAAAAATAAGATAAAACACTAGTGGGATGAAATATCAGAAATCAGTAATAAGCAATTCAAAATTATGACAGAAAACATTTCACTGCAATGAGTAAATGCTAACAATAAATGTAAAATCCCAACAACTAGCTGGAAATTAGTAACAGGACTTGGTATGTCTACTAATTTCATAATTATCATAATAACTCATCAGCTATTTTAGTTGGCTCAGTCCTACATTTAAAGTGAGGAAACTCTTGGTAAAATTATAGTCTTAGTGTGTGGGTCTTTTGTGGAGAGAAAATATAGCATACAGTGATCATGGGAAACAAATTACTACTTAACATTAATTTGGTCTGAAGGTAGACATCACTATAATAGCCTAAATCATGTTGGTTTACAAGTTTAGGAAGACACTGATCCTTGTTCTTTTGTCACCCCTGAGTTAGGAAACTAAACAGTGAGCTCAGAGAAGTGAGAGGTGAGGGTTGACTTTGTCCCATCCACAGGATTGTCACTGGCCAAATTCCAGCCACGTCCTCTGGATTCTCAGGTCTGAGTTAAACTTCCTCTTTCAAGGAACGTTAACGTCTGAGATTTCAAGGTTGGCTTCTCTATAAACAGGCTCGTCCGTATAAGAACGTACTACACTTCTAGAGTTGGGAGACAGTCAAGAAGTCAGCTATTCCCGGGCTGAGGATGCAGCTCAGGGGTAGAAAGCACACTTATTATGTGCAACCCTGGATTCTATCTCAAGCACCAAAAAAAAAAAAAAAAAAAAAAAAAAGTCACCGATTCCAGTCTCCCAGTGAAAGGGTCTTCTGCCCTCTCCCTAATAATTACTGCCTAACTTCCACCTGAATACGTCCAGTGACAAGGAATTCGTTCTATCTGCTTTGACCTTCAGAGTTCTAATAGATAGAATGCTTTTTAAACTTTAATCCATTGATCTTAGATGTGTTTTTCTAAAGCAGTTAAGTCTTCCACGTGAAAATTATTTTAAATAAAAGAAGACCGCTATCAGCTATCCGGCCCCAAAATATTTCATTGTTCCAGCTCCTCCCTCCGCTCTGACGAACAGGGCCGGCTTAATAACTCAGGTCGCGCAGCTCGGGACTGCCCAGGCAGCGCCAGGCTGTAGCCCGGGACGGGGCCTGAGGAACTCTGAAGCGAGAAGCCCAGAGTTGGAGTTTGAGCTGCAGCGCCCAGAGCGCGCGCTCCAAATTGAACGCCACGTGAGCGGAAACAGGCTCGGAGCATTGACCAATAGGGGAGCGCGCTTCTCGCCCGGGGATTGTAGCCGGCCAATCATAATCGTCGCGGGGGCAGGAGGCGGAACCAGGCCAACAGTCGGTGCGTGCGTGAGTTGATACGGGTTCACTATTGTGAGTGGAAGTTGTGCAGGTAAGGTGTTTTTCTTGCTCCCGCCTGGAGGAGGAGGTCACGATGGGTCTTGGGGGAACACGTCCTGTTTCTAAAGCCTAATGTGGGCGTTTTCCTCTGAGAGGAAAGTCCGAAAAGCAGCTGCTAAGCCGAGGCTTCCGCAGTGTCTTCGTGATGAATTTGTGGGCGCTCTCCGCCAAGCAGGGAGAGTCCGCTGAATGGAAAAGGCACAAGTGAACTGCGTTCGCTGGGGGGGGGGGGGCAAAAACTGGGGGGGGGTCTGCCAGCTTGTTATTTCGCCTCAACTCAAGTCTTGTTCATTAGCTATTAACTTAGTAAACTTGCTTAAAGGTTTGGATACAAAATGGGTTTTGTGTGTGTGTGTTTTGAGACTGGCTCTCCCGACTGGGCTTGCAGTCCTCCTGCCTCAGTCTTCCGGAGTGCTAGGATTACGGGTGTGTTTTCCAACGGCCGGCTACAAAACACTTTCTAAAAACTTGGGTCCTGTCCTCACGACGCCTTCCTAATGAGACGAATTACAACTCAGGAGGCAAACTGAGGAGGAAGCAGAGAAAGGATATTTGAAAGGTGTAAGATTGGAATGCTTTACCGTAGAGGAGGAAGAAGTTGTAATTTGATGTGTACATAAAGAATGAAACATGGGCATATAGGTCAGGATAGCTGAAACGTAACTTGTGGGGAGTAGTTACGGGATCTAAGGCTGAAAACATAGTTTAAAGCTAGATGTAAAGAACCTTTATGCCCAGAAAATCTGCAGGAATTGATAGATTTTTGAGTCAACCAGTGGCAGGTACTAGTTTCTGTTAACCTGATGAGATTGGAGTCTGGTTACTTCTTCAAGAGAAATTGTCTTGTTTTTGGTCTGTTCTAAACCCGCTACCATCCATTTCCACTGTTCTCATTTTATATAAGGTACAGTTTATACCCGGGGCAGTTTTAATTGATTGTCAGCATGGGCCTATGGAGAAAGTTGTAAGGGTCTATCTATTAAAGTAAGGTTAATTATCCACTATGTTGCTCCAAGATGATGGTCCAAAGGGGTCTGAGTGTATAGCTCAGTGATAGAACATGTGGTTAGCATGTCAGGCTCTGGATTCCATGACCAGCACCCCCCTCCCAAAAATAGCTAAGGAAATTTTGAAATGTATTGTTTAAAGAGGATCCCAAGTTCAAGACCAGCCTGGGCAACTTAGTGAAACCCTGCCTAAAAATAAAAAAGAGCTGGGTATTCCCTGGGTTCAGTCCACAGCACTAGAGAAAAAAAGACAATGAAAGGACTAAAATTAATCTTTGCAACAGGATTCGTCAGAGTATCTTTGCCCATCCAATGCACAAATTTAGTCTCCACTGAACATATCACTATGGTTAAGTGAATCAGAACTGAGAATGCTTATACATTTCAACTGTCCAACTGTAGTCTTTACAAGTTAATATTGGCCTTCGGTTAGTAGAAGTGTTTGTGAGTAGGCCGGCATAAATTAATATGTCCAAGTCCCGTGGAATCCGAGTGTATTGCTGAGAACCAGATCCCAAAATGTGATGACCTTGCCTGTTTACAGGTGTGTGCCACCACTCCCTGCAATCTTTGACAATTTAAGTTAAGAACTCCATCTGAGATCTTTTTGGATCTCAGAATTTATTAAAGTATTTATTTTTTTCTCAAAATGAAATACAAATTAGAAATGTTAAGTAACGCATTCAGATCCTTAGTCTTGCTCTGATTGGAAGATTTGAAGTGATTTATATAGTTGTAAATCAAAGCCATTTTTACTAGAGTGTTTTTCTCTAAAAAATTAAAATTATTCATGAATAGTTTTGGGCATTAGTCATGTCACTTTCCTATATATCTGTATAAAGTATATGTGTTCTTATTCTCAGATCTCAGCATTCAAGAAATTCACTGTTTCGATATTTAGTACATCCTAAGCTCCTATTTTTCTGCTTAAAAACCCTCATTTTCTTACTGTTCATATTTCTTATCTCTGTAGCATTGATTAGCTTTTTACTCTTGATAAATTTTTAGTGTATTTATTGAGAAAGTTCATATACAATAAGCTGCATAAATTTAGGGTGTATAATTTGATAGGTTTTAACAATATGCAGTTGTGAAAACATTGTCACAGTTGAGATAGTGAACGAGTCTATTACCTCCAAAAGTTTTGTGACTTGTTGAGCACCTTGAATCAGCGAGTTTAGAGTTTTCATACAATGTTGTGACCTCCTTGACTATTTATTCTTTTTTAATGGTATGTATCACATGATCATTTTCAATCCCCTTCCCCATCTCCAAATCATGTTTTATTAACCCCCATCCTTTTTTGGGATTCCATTTACATATGAATTTTTTGCAGACCTGGGGATTGAGCTTGGGGTCTAGCACCTTCACACTGAGCGACCTCCCTAGACTGTTCTTTTTTTTTTTTTTTTTTTTTTTTTTGTACCAGGGGTCAAACTCGGGTCCTTGTGCTGGCAAGGCAGATGGTGGAACCACTGAGCTAAATCCCCAGCCCCCTAGACCATTTTTTATTTTGAGGTAGGGTCCTGGTAAGTCTCTAAACTGCCCAGTCTGGGCTCAAATTTATGATCTTCCTGTCTCAGACTCCCAGAATGCTGGTACTACAGGCATACACCATCACACTCAGCTTTTCTTTCTTTCTTTATTTTTTTTTTTGTACTTGGAATTGTACTCAGGGCCTTGAGCTTGCCACTGAGCTACATCCCCAGACCATTCTTTTCAATTTTTGACAGTTGTTCTTGGTTTCATTTTATTTTTTTGATTTTTTTGTTTTTGTTTTTTGAGACAGGGTCTCACCATGTAGTTGAGACTGACCTGGAACTCACTATGTAGCCCAAGCTGGTCTCGAACTCACAGTGATCCTCCTGCCTCAGCCTCCCAAGTGCTGGGATTACAGGCATGCGCCACCACGCCCGGCCTTGGTTTCATTTTAAATTGCATATATGTATGTCTTAAGGTTGTATACTTATAGTCACATACATGGTATTTTTCATGTCTAGAAGTTTAATTTGGACCATGGCTGTTTGTTTTGAGATGGAGTCTTTCTGTGTTGTCCAAGCTGGCCTGGACATCACCCTCCTGCGCAAGCCTCCAACTAGCAGGGATTACATGTGTGCCACATACCCAGCTTTAATTTGGGTCCCTCTTTTCTGTCTTCCATATTTCTCCTTAACATGCTCATTCTGTATGTCTTGAACAGATGGAATATATTGATATAGCTGTTTCAATATCCTTATTCTTACCATTATTCCCCTATAAGTAATATGTCCATTTTCTTCAAACTGCTTTTTTTTTGGTGGTGGGGGGTTGAGACAGGGTCTCACTATGTAGTTGAGACTGACCTGGAACTCACTTTGTAGCCCAGGCTGGTCTTGAACTCACAGTGATCCTCCTGCCTGAGCCTCCCGAGTGCTGGGATTACAGGCGTGCGCCACCACAACCGGCTTCAAACTGCTTTTAAGACGGTGTGTGATGGAGCCTTCCATTCTGTCCAGGCCGACTGGAATCCTGGGCTTAAATGATCCTCCCACCTACCTCACTCTCTTTAGTACATAGCGTCAACTACAGGTACCACCAAATCCCCCTAAGACTTTCTTTTTGTTTGGTTTTCAAAACTTTAGTTAATATGTATTTAATTATATGTATATACTTGGCGTATATTTTATTTTGAAAAGAAACTGTAGGGCCGGGGGCTTTAGCTCAGTGGTGCTGCGGCCTGCCTGCCTCGTCGTAAGATCCCCAGTACCAAAAAACTAAAAAACCTACTAGATCACCACAAAGCTGATTTACATATACTCATCAGTTACAGAAAGACATAGTGAGTTTCTCTATGATCCTAATCTATATGTACCCTTTATTTGATAAGAAAACCAAAATTTTAAAAGTTAAAGCATTACATTTTCAGAAGTGTAAAATGCTTTCCAAAAAAAAACCCTCATAAGGGAAATTAGAAAATATTTATTCGTTTATTTATTTATTTATTGGTACGGGGAGTCAGACTTGGGCCCTTGCGCTTGTGAGGCAGGCAGCGGAACCACTGAGCCAAATCCCCTGCCCTAGAAAATATTGAAAATGGAAGAACATTTTACATATCAAGATTTGGGGATGCAGTGGTAATTAGAAAGCAGGATACTCACATGTTTACAGTTGAAAAGTGAAAATATGAGAAATTTAAATACAGTCTAAATTTGGAAAAGAAAAACTAAAAAAAGTCGAAGGATAGAAATAATAAAGATAGCGGCAGAAATCATTGAAATAGAAAATAAATTTTGAACAGAGACACCATAAAATGTTTCTTAATACATAAATCTCAAGATTGAGCAAAGGAAAAAGGCTGGCGCAGGCAAACATTGTTAGAAATGAAAATGGAAGGGCATAATGGCATTTGGGTAGGAGGGTTTTAAGTTTGAGGACATCCTGAGCTACATAACAAAAGGATGCAAATGTATATGGAAGTTTAATTTATGGTAATAGCAGAAAGGATGGACTTTTTCAATAATTGATATTTGGGCAGTTATTCGTTTTGGAACACATTTTAAATTGGACTCTTCCTTTACTGTACACAAAAATCAATTCCTTATTTTAAATATTTAAGTATGAAAAACAAAATTATTTTAAAAATACTAACAGTGTAGGAAAATATCTTTAAATTTAGAACACGGAAAAAAATTAATATTAAATATATGCTTATCAAATGACATCACTGAATAAAAATGGAAAGATTAGCCATAAAAGGAGATATTTGTAATACATATCAAAGTGGTGGTGTCCTTTGGGTCACCGCTAGAGGGAAAACTAGAGTGAAAAGTGTATTGAGTAGCTATAGTGGGTTTTTAGACAAGAGAGACTTGGAGTATATTTGAATGTTAATGACAGAAGCAAAGATTGGAAATACTAGAGAAAGATGGACTAGTTAAAAAAGAGTGGGTTTCTGGAATTAGATGTGAAATCCACGGCACATGAGAAAACTTCAGGCATTTGAGCATTAATTTATACGTATCTCAGAGTATAGACCATCTAGGTCATGCCTGCTCTCGCAAGGCATGTGGAGACTTCCTAGCAGGCAATTTATGTCAAGTCCCTTATTGTACCAGGCTTGCTGAGGATACACTGGTGAGCAAAATCTGTCCCAGCTCCTGACCTCGTGAGTTTATAATTTATCAGTGGGCTATAGTTTTGTTTATTTGTTTATTTATTTTTGGTGCTAGGGATCAACCTACAGGGCCTCACACAGGCTAAACTTGGCGGGGAGGAGCATGCTAAACTTTTAATTCCTCCCCTGTCCCCCTCCCCTCTCCCTCTCCTCTTTTCATCTCCCTGTGTGGCTGTGTACTGCTGGCCTTGAACTTGCAATTCTCCTACCTTAGCCTCCTGAGTTTTGGGATTAGCACCACACTCAGCTATAATTCTTTTTTTCAAAAATTACTTTCTTGAGTAAATAAAAAGTTCATAAGGCGGGAACAGAAAAGCTCAAGACTCCCTTGTCAGAAGAGAGATTAGTGAGTGGAGTTGTCCTTCACTACATCAAAGCTAAGTGCTGAAAACTCAGGCACTGTTACCATTTCATGGTTCCCTCTTTTCTCCCCTAGTGCATCTCAACCAGCCCCTAGTGTGGAGTGGTACTGTGTGTTACCCTTTACTCGAGCATCATGCAGAGAGTTTCACGTCTGAAAAGAGAGCTGCAAATGCTAGCCACTGAGCCACCTCCAGGCATCACATGCTGGCAAGAAAAAGACCAGATGGATGACCTGCGAGCTCGTGAGTGTCATCATGACTAGATGAGATCGTGACTACTGAAGGTTATGCTGAAATTCAAACATTTGTATATTCCTCTGAAGCAGGGAACAGATATAAGGTCAAAGTGCTCTACCATCTTTCTTCCCTAATTTGTTTGCATCATAAAAGGTTTACTCGACATTTCCTGCTTTCTTGACTTTTTATTTTACTTTTGCTGACTTATAATCAAGATTGGGCATCAGCTGTGCAGTACTAGTTATACCAAATGACCATCTGAAATATCTATGAAGTCAGGTGGAAGCATAAAAGCCCAAACAAATCTGTAAGTTGTATTTGGTCTTTGCAACTGCTGTTTTATTTGACTTTCAAAAAATATTTATACCAGGGATTTAGCTCAGTGGTGTCACTGCCTGCCTCGCAAGCGCAAGGTCCTGAGTACGTACCCCCCCCATTTTTTTTTTTTTTTTTTTTTGGTACCGGGGATTGAACTCGGGTCCTTGCACCTGCAAGGCAGGCCACCGAACTGCTGAGCTAAATCCCTGGCCCTCCAAAAAAATCTTTTTAAAATTTACTTATTTTGGTTTTTGAGACAAGGTCTCACTATGTAACCCAGACTGGCTTTGAACTCATGATCCTCTTGCTTCAGCCTCTGAAGTGCTAGAAGTATAGGCAGGTGCCACCATACCCAGGACGACTCCTACTTTAGATCTATTGTATGTCCTTGGACACCACCAACCTTTAGGGTATACCAGCATCATGGTGTATTGATTGCATAAAGACTTATTAAACCCCTGAGATAGGATTATTGTTATAGACTTAGTTTCTGTGTTAGAATAATAGAACTTCTTAATTCAAATCATCTGATTCCCTTTTAACTTTTTCTTTCATTATTTTTTTCTTTTAAGAAATATTAGGTGGAGCCAACACACCTTATGAGAAAGGTGTTTTTAAGCTTGAAGTCATCATTCCTGAGAGGTTAGTGTGAATTAGATTCTTTTTTTTTTTTTTTTTTTTTTTTTTTTAACTTGGGACCTTGCGCTTATGAGGCAGGTGGCAGCACCACTGAGCTAAATCCCTGGCCCATGAATTACATTCTTGACCTACATGGAAATGCCTAGTCATCAGAAGACAGAACAGTGTGGTCCATGGAGGATTAAATGTAGGGGTTAAAAGATCTGGGTATTAATCCAGTTTCTTATGATTTAATTTGCCAAGTTATTTTCTCTCTGGAGTTCAATTTTCTTCTTTAAAATAATGGGCTATATCACAACTCAGCTTTTCTTTTCCCCCTTAAGTTGTGGCAACATATAACAATTACCCATTTTAGCCATTTTTTTTTTTTTAAAGAGACAGGATCTCACTATGTAGTCCATGCTAGCTGCCTCAAAGTTACCAATCCTGCCTCAGCCTCCTAAATACTACGATTACAGTCATGCACCACTATGTCTGCATTTTAGCCACTTTAAAGTATACATTTCATGTTGTCATGCAACCGTTACTTCATCCATCTCCAGAACTTTTTCATCTTCCCAAACTATAACTTCATAACCAATAAAAACTCTCCATTCTCTTCTAGCCCCATGCTCTGGCAACCACCATTCTGTTTTTTTATCTCAATGTTAAGGCCCCTCAAGTATCCTTTAAGGTTCTAATCATTAAGCTGTAATTTTGTGCAGAAAGGGCAAGGGATGAAGTGAATGTCTAACTGTTGAAACATAGATATCTATTTACCAGGTCAGATCCAGACTTGTTAAAGTCCTGAGAGATTAGTTTAATAGTCGTGTTTTATATCAGTCTAAACATAGGCTTAGAACTTCTGAAGTTCTTGTCTCACTAAGAAACATAATAGCCAAAGACAATGCATAAATCTTAATTGGATCCTATTTTGAGAAATTGAGCTATTAAAAAATGAGAGAATTAAATCAGAATAGTAAATAGTACTAGGAAATTATTTTTAAAATCTTTCGAAGATGCAATGGTATTACAATTATGTAGGAAATTGTCCTTATTCTTACAAGATAAATGCTGATTTTAGAAAGTGAAGTGGCTTGAATCCAGTCAGTAGTATATGAGTGTTTTCATACTGTATTTCAGCTTTTCTGATCATTTGTAAATTTTTATGGTAAAAATTTGGGAAGAAGGCAGGGATTTAGTTCAGTGGTGCCGCCCTCTGCCTCGTAAATGCAAGGTCCTGAGTTTGATCCCTGGTACCAAAAAGAAAAAAAAAATGGGAAGAAAGGACATTTGCCCCCCAAATACTGTCTTCCTGATGGTTTTCTAATACGTATATTAGTGATCCAGAAACTATTTAAAATGTACTAGGAAACAATATTAAAGTAATAATAATGTCTTGTTGTTCCATGCATCCAAAGGTACCCATTTGAACCTCCACAGATCCGATTTCTGACTCCCATCTATCATCCCAACATTGATTCTGCTGGTAGGATTTGTCTGGATGTCCTCAAATTGCCACCAAAAGTGAGTAGTGGGTAAAGGGTTGACTCTGGCATTGTTTTGTTCATCTGTACAATTCGAATTACAGTCTCACATCCTTACTCTGTGTGTAGGGTGCTTGGAGACCAGCCCTCAACATCGCAGCCGTGTTGACCTCTATTCAGCTGCTCATGGCGGAACCCAACCCTGATGATCCCCTGATGGCTGACATTGTGAGTTTCCCCCTTTTCACTGCACTACACAGGCCATTCTGTACCTCGAATGCTCTATGCATGAGGATGGTGGCATCAGCTGAGCTTATCGCTGCACATCATTTTTTCCCCATTCTTTTCTTTGATTTCCTCTCAGTCCTCAGAATTTAAATATAATAAGCCAGTCTTCCTGGAGAATGCCAAGCGGTGGACAGAGAAGCATGCAAAACAAAAGCAGAAGGTATGATATTTGCTACTATTATCAGTCCGTCAAATTTATGTGTATCAGCTGTATATATGTATAAATAATGCTTATTAGATTTACCAGATTTGTGCTATGCTCGAATGGCCAGTATGATCTTTTTCTCCTGTTGCAGCTATCTAATAATTAACTCAGCAGAATAGCCTAGTAGTTCAACCAACATTAAATTTTTCCCAACAGTTGTCATCTGTTGACAACACTAGAGGGCAGGCAGCATCTAGTTGATCTTTTTTGTATTCTTGGGGGTCGGAGGGTTAGAAGAAAGATGCCTCCGATTTTTTCCTAAATTGTCTTATTTAACAGTGAGAAGGAGCTATATTTATAGGCACTAGTTGCAGAAATAGGAAGCAATTATTGATAGAAAGGGAAATTTATATTTCTCATGAACCATTCAGGGGAGAAGGGAGGAATAAAACTTCCCCAGTTTAAGTAGATAGTTTCCTTATTTAACAAAATACAAATTGCAAGAACACGGGTGCTTCTTGCTGAGTTATAGCATTCTTCAGATTGAGTTAAGTAGCAGTTTGTGTTACTTGTAAGAAGAAGTAATTAGACAAATGAAGAAGATGCTTTTGGAGGAAATATATGCACAGTGCAATATATAAATCTTGTAACAAAAAAGGTAGCTGGAAAGAAAATATTAGAGCTTCGTTTTTCTCTGCTGGCATTTGCATGAACCTTATTGTATTTCACCCTATCTTTTCTTTTTAGGCTGACGAGGAAGATGTGCTGGATAATTTACCAAAGGCCAGTAACTCTGAAATAGACAACTCAACACAAAAAAGGAAGGCTGGGCAGCTAGGAGGTGTAGAAAAGAAATTTTGCCCTGATGATCGAGAAGTTTGTCCTGATCCATCTTAGTTAATGCATTTTTGCAAGATGGTCTAATTTGCTTACCTTTCTTGAATGTTTTTCTTTGTTTTGGGTGACATTGTAATTGTTGTACCCTATAAAGGACTCTATATATTTATGTATTCTGCTCTACAGTGATTCTGTGTATAGTTTGTTTTATTTACCTTGTACATATGTATTTTGAAATCTTTTAAACCTGAAGAATAAATAATCATTTAATGTTGAGTACATGCTTATCCTAAATGTGTGTCTGGGAGTGAACTGGCCAGAGTGCTGTATGCTCAGTATGTTAAAATATTTGGAATCGTTGTCCTTTACTTTGCCAACTTAACCACCATCACTAGAGACACTGAATGTTTGACATAGACGTAAAATAGATGTTAGAAATATTTCAGTTACCCCTAGGCTTTCAGGGAATCCAGCTTTTTAGAAGCCTTAAAACACGATAAGGCAATGTATCTTTTCTGTATTGTTTAATTTTTTTTTGCAACTTTCACTTTTTGTGATTTACATAGCTGCTCACAATTACTGTAGTGTAACTTTGATTTGCAGCATATACTTACTGTGCACCTACTATGTGCCAGGTGTCACTGTTTGACAATGTAATGCAGAGAAAAAAATCAGACATGGAATTAACCAAGTTATCATACAGATTTAAACAGAGATTATTATGATCCCTTTTACTCCCTTAGAATCACTTCATGGCTAGTATTACTCTGAACGGTCAGGTGCCAAATTTGAATCCCTTACCCATGACTTTATATCTGTCTTTGTGTGTGTGTGGTACCAGGGGTTCTAACCCAGGGCCTCAAGCCTGCTAGGTAAGTGTTCTACTCACCGAGCTACCCCTGTGCTACTATTCTATTTAAATGATACATAACACGTTTGAATGGAAATCAGTTGAAATAGGAAGAGGTTATCCACGCTAAATAAAAGACTTTTTGAGGAATATAGGTATTAAGACAGTCCAGGCAGAGATATACTCTGTTCATAACCCAACATAGCAGTGATGATTTTTTTTTTTTTTTTTTTTTTTTTTTTTTTTTT